AAAATAGTGATTTCTTCAAGGAAAGAGCTATTCTCTGTTCAAAGAACGTCAACGTTGATGCTATTAACAGCAAGGTGATGGAGAACGTGATTGGGGAAAAGGTCACTCTGTACTCTGCTGACACAGCTCAGTCTGATCTGACCAACACGGAGACCCAAGCCTATCCCTCAGAGTATTTGCAAACCCTTTCGCCTTCAGGGCTGCCGCCAGCAGTTTTGGAGTTGAAAGTAGGTCTTCCTGTAATGCTCTTGAGAAACCTCAACCCTGAAAGAGGTTTGTGCAATGGTACAAGGCTGATCATTCAGCAAATTGGACAGTATGTCCTCAAGGTGAAAATCCTCGGAGGGTCAGGTGCAGTAGAGTTGATTCCTCGCTTTACATTATCAACATTGCCTGGTACATTACCATTTATTTTGACTAGGAAACAGTTCCCTGTAAAAGTGTCTTTTGCGATGACAATCAACAAGTCTCAGGGGCAATCCCTTAGAAAAGTCGCTGTAGACCTCAGGAGTCCTGTTTTCACACATGGCCAACTCTATGTTGCCATCTCGAGAGCAACATCTGCAAATGGTATGACAATTCTACTGCCAGAAAATGCGACTCGGACAGAGAATGTTGTCTACCCAGAAGTATTATATAATATAAATGCTGTATAAAAAAAGTTGGTCTGTAACTCCCAACTCCTGTCGTCTCAATCAAGTTTCAAGTCTATTTTTTGTTTTAAAATCTTCGAATCGAATATAATCATTGTTTAAAACCTACTTGATATACCAAATTTTTATTATCTCTGATTTGAAATGTCTTCGGCCAGAGCCCGCAGGGCGACGCCGTCATCGAGCGTAGCGAGATAGATCGGCTAGTGTTGTATATACTGTAATAAAACTAGATTTTAAACAATCAATTAATAGCTATATCAGAGTCAGGAGGGGGGGAGGTATCCATTTGCTGATGTTGCCCTTGAGCTGGCGACATAAAGCTGGCCATGTGTAAATCAGGACTTGTGTAAGATCTACTGCAACGTTTTTGAGATATTGTCATTGCAAAAGAAACCTTTACAGAGAAAATTATCAAGAACAACAAAGTGTTCGGGCTGAGAAACTGCTCTTTCCATTCGATGACCCCTCTTTAGTTAACGTCGCAATCATCATTGTCATCATCATTGTCATCATCATTATTATCATCAGAAAGGGCATTTGGATCAGCAAGCAGCAGCGCTGCCCGCCGCCGCCAAAACCTTATTCAAGCTCAGTTATTTTTTTCTCTTCAAGATTGGCCAAATCTCGTCTTTTGTCGACTTCTTCATTCTATTTTGTAGTATTCGACTATATAAATTGTATTTATTATACAATGCGTCCTAATACATTCTTGGAGTGCTTTTCAAGGCGCTCCCAATGGTACCAAATAAAATGAATGTTTTGACTGAACTTATTGAGCAATTTTGTAAAATATGAAATGAGGTTTTTGGTCAAAATGTCGAAATTTTGCATATGAACACCTGATAAAAGTGGTTTCAGATGTTGCTTTGGGTCGAGAGAAACATTTTGATTTAATACATACCATAGAAAAAGCCTTCATTTTCGAGGTGAAAAACGCGATCGTTTGAAATTCGATGAAAACCATGAGGCATCCCTCATGCTTTTTGGTCGATTTTTGACCATGTTTTTCTGGTCCTCAAAAAGTTGAGTAAAAGTATCAGGAAGTAAGTGCTAGGCGAGAACAATTGTTTGGTGCTATTCTGGCGGTCTAAAACGGATTCAAACGCGAGAAACGCGGCTCAAATGCACTCAGCTTTTGTTGCATCAGGGATACTAAGGAATAAAAGGGGAAATACCAGTATGCTGCTTACCCGTATATAAAGTAGCCACGTATATATAGGTGCAGAGCATCACATAAAAGTCAGATCCACAGATAATATAAAGAATTTTCATGTGTAAGTGGAGGGTCAAAATGAAAGTAACTGTATTTTGATAAGATACGCAAGGACAATCGGTAACGCGAGCTGCCGATACGCAGATTGATTCTCACCGAAGCGAAGCAAAGGTAGAGAACCATCCGAAGCATAAACTTTCATATGATTAGTAAGTTTATATCAATTAGCAATCGAGGTTCTTCTAAACATTTTAGCTACATCAACTTTGCGATATTAGCCAAAGGCCGACGGCAGCTGGAGCAGTTTGAACGTAGGTTGGTTACCACTGAAACGAAGTGTAGGTCAGGAAACCATCCAAAGAGTTGAAAGGCTCGTATCCATTATAAACCTACTATGTATAGCACTGATGGCTGATCTTGTAAAATTAATGCATGATATGGATGGATTGAGAACCTATTTCATCTATTAAGAGGACATTTGAAGACAATGGATGTGTGTTAGCCTCGGGCTATTTGTCTGAAATAGCGGCATCAATTGGCATGTCTTGATCCGGCTGAAGAAAAAAAAGCTCTTGGGGACAACATATCTAGATTGCCAACCCTATTATTCATTATTATCTTCCATCATAGTAGATATCAAGTACTGGTTATTAATTAAATGCAAGTCTTAAAAACCAACGATTCAGTAACATGCAATGTTGGTACGCGTCCATTGTACTGGAAAGGGAAACAATATTGTTAGTATACGCAGCCTATCGCTAGAACTCATTTTAAGATATACCAGCTCATCATAACAGTATGCATTCCAGCATTGACAAACCCCTAGAGAGCAAAAGCTGGTGTTACACCATTGTCTGTGACAGATGCTGCTTGAGGAATACTTCAGAGTGCTCAATTTTCAAAAGGGAGGCAACATAGACTAATGGCATCAAAGCCGAAACAAGAAAACACGCCATGTTAAGCACTCAAAGACGAGTTCTGAAGGAATAATGCGCTCGATATCAAACAAAAAGACATCAAGAATAATATACTGACCAAGAGTAGATGGAGGCAAATATTAGACATAGGCAGCACTACTCAAACGAGAGAATTGATCGATGCTTGCGCCAAACCAGTGCAATCAATGCAATGCTTATAGCAAGATATTTTACAACAAGCGGGCCCTGAACAGACACATTTTTGTCATTCATAAGATGAATAATGATTCAATACTCTAATCAAACAGTAAAAAGCCAGACATTAACAATTCAAACAATTACTGCAGAGTTTGCAACAAATCTTATGCTAACTCTCAAAACCCCGTGAAATCCATCTACAAAGGACCTGCAACTGTCAATTTAAGTCTTCTGCAATGCTTTACGCCTATATCGATAGAATCAAATTGTTTAATGGCCCATAGCATACTCGTATTGCATTTTACTACTCAAAAGTATACAAAACACAGCGAAATCTAGATGAATCTGAGCCGTGTTTTTTCGCGTTTGAATCCGTTTTAGACCGCCAGAATAGCACCAAACAATTGTTCTCGCCTAGCACTTACTTCCTGATACTTTTACTCAACTTTTTGAGGACCAGAAAAACATGGCCAAAAATCGACCAAAAAGCATGAGGGATGCCTCATGGTTTTCATCGAATTTCAAACGATCGCGTTTTTCACCTCGAAAATGAAGACTTTTACTACGGTATGTATTAAATCAAAATGTTTCTCTCGATCCAAAGCAACATCTGAAACCACTTTTATCAGGTGTTCATATGCAAAATTTCGATATTTTGACCAAAAACCTCATTTCATATTTTATAAAATTGCTCAGTAAGTTTAGTCAAAACATTCATTTTATTTGGTACCATTGGGAGCGCCTTGAAAAGCACTCCAAGAATGTATTAGGACGCATTGTATAATAATTACAATTTATATAGTCGAATACTACAAAATAGAATGAAGAAGTCGACAAAAGACGAGATTTGGCCAATCTTGAAGAGAAAAAAATAACTGAGCTTGAATAAGGTTTTGGCTGGTGAAACTGACTGGCAAACTCAATGCCCTTTTCATAAGGCAATACAGTAATAGATGCCCTTGAAGCGTATGGAAAGTAGGTGTCAAGCCATAGCACTATCGACCATTATGCTGTTTTCTTGCATTCTATGTTTAATAACGTTAGTCTGGACATTGACGATGCATGGGCTGCATAACATGTCTGCAGTAAATAGGGAAATCTCAGAGGCTTCGGGTCGTCGTTCAAAGAAAACGTTGTTGACAGCATTGAGCAGAGGAAAGATGGTGAAAATAAAAGCGGCTTTTGTTGATTGATTGTAAAATCATTAATCATATATATGAGCCCTGCCTGACAGATGCCTGGATATTCAGTTTCCGTACGAGGGTTGTAAAAGTGTCTAGGGACTGAACCATTTATTATAATATGATGATGTGCCTGCCACCAAGTTTAAATTGGCTGTGGCCTATTCAAATCAAATATGGTGACTGGAATAGTCAGGTCGTGGGAAATACAGGCCTAATTTGACATGTCTGTTAGGTTGTGGTGACAGACACAGTGTGTACCTGAAAATGCAAGAAAAAGGTAGGCACACACTACAAATGACAGCCCCTCTATGACTCAAGGCAAAGGCCCAGGGTGCCATTGATGGCACATTATCAAGATTGGCTGCCATCATCATCAGCACTCCATCTTTAAAGTTCGATATCCGCCGATCATTTCTCTTTCTGTCCAGCATTTACGCTTTGTCATTTGCATTTTTAAATTAGCCATGAATTTGTAAACAACCCCCTTGTCAGTAGAGCATGTCACCACGGCTACTTTTTTCTCTTGTGCCTTGAATAGGTAGACTGGATACAGTATCGATATGAGTAATATAAATCCCTTTTGTATCGTAGCCTCTATATACATATGGCATCTCGCGGAGACCTAATGCAGATTGCATTATTCGATGCAACACTTGAAAATATGGAGAACCAGAGGTTTGTAATATGACCGGTGTTACAATAGTTCGAACAACAAACCATCACAGCATGTGAAAAATTCACATCAATTTTTGGAATATAACTGTATTTTCGTTTTCTCTCTCTCTCTCTCTCTTTCTTGTTCTTCTCTTTTAAATTTCAATTCAAACACGCCATGTTGAGATCTGCTACCCGTTCCATCAACTTGATTTCTCGTTCTATTCCCAAGAGGTAATCGTTCTATGTGTGTTGTTGCATATCAGGGCACTAAATTGTAGATTTGTAGAACTTTCACTCAATCAGCCATTGCTCGTAATGCTGCTGGTCTTCCTACCTCTCTCCAAGCCTTCACCGAAGAAGAGTTGATGCTCAAGGATGCTGGTGTGTATTTCAAGTGATATGAATGTGTAGGATGTCCTGGCTAAAACAGTCTTTGTTAGTCTCCAGATTCGCCCAAGAGGTTGTTAAGCCCAAGGTGTCTGAAATGGACGAAACTGAGAAGCTCGATGCCACTGTCTTGAAGGGCCTTTTTGACCAAGGTGTAAGTAGAATGTATAGGATGTTTCAAGGAGCCGATATTGATCAAAATCCACATAGCTTATGGGTATTGAGACTGATGCTGACTATGATGGTGCCAACTGCTCGTTCACCTCTGCCATCATCACTATTGAAGGTGAGCTTGAACATGATCCATATGTTTATCCCTAGAAAAAACCGACACATAACTCGATTTAACAGAACTCGCCAAGGTGGATCCCTCCATCAGTGTTATCTGTGATGTTCAAGTATGCTGATATCATTCAAAAGGAGCGCATGGTATTAACGTTTAAATTAACAGAACACTTTGGTTGGTACTCTTGTTCGCAAGTATGGTAATGCCGATGTCAAGAAGCGATTCCTCCCCAAGTTGGCCACCGAATCTGTTGGTTGTTTCTGTTTATCTGAAGCAGGCTCTGGTTCTGATGCTTTTGCTCTTCAAACTCGTGCTGTTGAAAAGGACGATCATTATGTTATCAGCGGTTCCAAGATGTGGATCACCAACTCTGGCGAAGCTGATATTTTCTTGGTCTTTGCCAACGTGTAAGTGGTGGATAACAAGCATTTGGATAGAGCACTTACATAGCTACAACAGAGATCCCTCCAAGGGTTATAAGGGTATTACCTGCTTTATTGTTGAGAAGGAGATGGGTGTTCAAGTCGCCAAGAAGGAGAGCAAGTTGGGTATCCGTGCTTCATCCACATGTGTCCTGAACTTTGACGAGATTGTCGTCCCCAAGGAGAACATTCTCGGTGAAGTCGGTAAGGGTTACAAGTACGCTATTGAAATCTTGAACGAAGGCCGTATCGGTATTGCTGCTCAAATGATTGGTACTGCTCAAGGTGCCTTTGACATTGCCTTGCCTTATCTCTTCCAAAGAAAGCAATTTGGTCAATTCATTGGTGATTTCCAAGCCATGCAACATCAATATGCACAAATTGCCACTGAAATCGAAGCTGCCAGACTCTTGACTTACAATGCTGCTCGTATGAAGGAAGAAGGCAAGAGCTTCATTAAGGAAGCTGCCATGGCTAAATTATACGCATCCCAAGTGGCTGAACATGCTGCCTCCAAAGCTATTGAATGGTGTGGTGGCGTTGGTTTCACTCGTGAATTGGGTGTTGAAAAGTTCTACAGAGACGCCAAGATTGGTGCCATTTACGAAGGTACTAGCAACATCCAACTTCAAACGATTGCCAAGTTGGTTTCCTCTGCATACAAATAGATCTCTCTTAATAAAATGACATGTATTACTATCTTTTCAACGTGGCTTTGATAAACAGCACATACAATGCTTACTATATTAAGATGTAGGCCACTTTTGCTTGTTTGTATCACTGCAACATTGGGTCTCCGTATTCATGAGATGACGTGCCAGCTCACCAAGCAAGCGATTTTCGTTATAAATTTCAAAGCAAGAGAGTGAGAGAAGAGCCCTTTTTCTTTTTCCATTTTCCATCTTTCTTCCTCTTTCCTCTGTACACACACAAAAAGTCGTGTTTTTTTTCTCTTTGAACTGTTTGTTTGTTTATAGTATCGAATCTGTAGAAAAAAACACTGTTTTTTGAAAGAACAAGGACGAAAATACTAGATTGTAACTATCCTGTACATGCCGTTTGCGTGTCCTTGTACCAGTGCTTACATTTCGGGTTAATTTAGAATACAATGAGTGAACAATTACCTATCAGATTTCAAGAGCATGCTCAAGTAAGTCTCAGCTGCTTTGACCTGCTGAAGCGATGGAAATAACCACTCTATTTAGTTGCAAAACCTTGGCGTAAATGCTGCTAGCATTGGCTTCAACAACTTGACCATGGAGTCGGATAGATTTATTTGCGTCCGCGAGTCTGTGAACAACAACAACCAGGTTGTTATCATTGATTTAGCCAACAATAATGAAATCACCCGCCGTCCCAGTGGAGCAGACTCTGTTATCATGCATCCCAAAGTCAAGGTCATGGCCCTTAAATGTAGGTTTCTAGTGTGTGGTGTCAATCTGGATACTAATCATGTATAACATCACTCAGCCCAAAGAAACCTTCAAGTTTTTAACCTCGAGTTGAAGACCAAGATCAAGTCTCACATGATGTCTGAGGATGTTGTGTTCTGGAAGTGGTTGGATCTCAAGACAATCGGTCTTGTCACAGAGAGAAACGTCTACCGTTGGTCTATCGAGGGAGAATCAGCTCCCCAAAAGATTTTTGAAAGGCATGCCAGTTTATCAGATTCTCAAATTATCAACCTGCGTGCTTCAGCCGACGAGAAATGGTACGTCCTTGTGGGTATCGCTCCCAGAGAAGGCCGTGTTGGTGGTTATATGCAACTCTACTCCAAGGAGCGTGGTGTCAGTCAGCCTATTGAAGGCCATGCTGCTGCTTTTGCTGAAATCACCTTGGAAGGCGCTGCCCATCCTACCAAGCTCTTTACATTTGCTGTGCGTTCTCCTTCCAACCTCAGCGCAAAGGTAATCTCTTACAAGAACGTGTTACACCATTCAACCCAACTAATTTATTGCAATTACAACTACAGCTTCAAATCATCGAAGTGGATCATGTCGACGGAAACCCTCCATTCCAAAAGAAGGCTGTGGAGGTCTTCTTCCCTGCCGACTCTGCCACTGATTTCCCTGTAGCCATGCAAATCAGCCATAAGTACGGTGTCATCTTCTTGGTCACCAAGATGGGTTACATCCACCTCTACGATCTCGAGTCGGGCACTTGCATCTACATGAACAGAATCAGCAGTGATACCATCTTTGTTACCGCCGAGTATGATCCTACCTCTGGTATCATTGGCGTCAACAAGAAGGGTCAGGTAAGTCCATCTCGAGAGAGAGAGAGAGAGAGAGAGAGAGAGAGAGAGAGAGAGAGAGAGAGAGAGAGAGAGAGGAAGGAGAGGTGGGGGAATTCGTGAAATAACACTGTTTCTTAGGTGCTCTCTGTTTCTCTTGATGAAAACAACATCATTCCCTACATTATCAACACGTTAAACAACCAAGAATTAGCCCTCAAGCTTGCTTCTCGCGGTGGTCTTTCTGGTGCTGATGATTTATACATTCACCGTTTCCAAACCCTATTCAACAGCCACAACTTTACTGAAGCTGCCAAGGTTGCTGCTAATTCTCCCAGAGTAAGTAGAGATATAAGCCAAGTGAGACACAGCCTGTTTGATTGACACACACATACGCACTATGGTAGGGTATTCTTCGTACCACCGAGACGATTGAAAAGTTTAGACAGATTCCTGCTGCTCCCAACTCACTTCCACCCATTTTACAATACTTTGGCACTCTGCTCGAAAAGGGCGTCCTCAACAAATACGAATCTCTCGAGCTTGCCAAGCCCATCCTCACTCAAAATCGTAAGCCCCTTTTGGAGAAATGGTTAAAGGAAGACAAGCTACAGTGCAGCGAAGAGCTTGGTGATTTGGTCAAGCAATACGACTCTCTTTTGGCCTTGTCTGTCTACTTGCGTGCTGAAGTCCCCAACAAGGTTGTACTCTGTATGGCCGAGAACCGTCAATACGACAAGATTTTAGCCTATGCCAAGACAGTGGGTTACTCTCCTGATTATGCTTCCTTGCTCTACAACATTGCTCGCACTGAACCCGAGAGGGCTGCTGAATTCGCCACGTCGCTCATGAATGACGAGAACGGCCCCTTGATTGAGCCCGAGAAGGTGGTCGATGTGTTCCAATCTCAAAACATGATCCAGCAAGCTACTGCTTTCCTTTTGGACTATTTGAAGAACAACAGAGAAGAGGACGCAGCTCTCCAAACACGTGTCTTGGAAATGAACTTGGTGCATGCCCCTCAAGTTGCGGATGCCATTTTGGGTACTGGCATGCTTACTCACTACGATAAGGTAGTTGTTGGTAATTTGTGTGAAAAGGCTGGTTTATATCAACGTGTAAGTATCCAAGCGTATGTGTGTGTGTGTGGGTTGATAAAGTGAGGATATTAAACCAGTGATGTATAGGCCCTCGAACACTACACCGATATCCATGACATCAAACGTATTATTCCCTTCACCCATCAAATGAACGCCGAATGGCTTGTCAATTACTTTGGCAACCTCTCTGTTGACCAAACCTTGGATTGCTTGAAGGAAATGCTCAGCAACAACCTCCGCCAAAACCTTCAAATTGTCGTTCAAATCGCCATCAAGTACTCTGAACAGCTCCAACCCCACAACCTGATTGAGCTCTTTGAGTCTTTCAAATCCAATGAAGGCCTCTACTACTACTTGGGCTCCATTGTCAATGTTAGCCAAGATGGCTTGGTCCACTACAAGTACATTCAAGCTGCTTGTCGCACTGGCAATGTCCGTGAAGCTGAACGCATCTGTCGTGAAAGCACCTACTACGATCCTGAGAAGGTCAAGAACTTTTTGAAAGAAGCCAAGTTGAGCGATCAACTCCCTCTTATCATTGTCTGCGACCGTTTCAACTTTGTCCATGACCTGGTTCTCTATCTCTACCATAACAACTTGCAAAACTTTATTGAAACCTACGTTCAAAAGGTCAATCCCTCTCGCACCCCTGAAGTCATTGGTGGTCTCTTGGATGTCGGCTGTGATGAAGACACCATCAAGAACTTGCTTCTGTCTGTGCAAGGTGATGTGCCCGTCGATAAGCTCTGTGAGGAAGTTGAGCAGAGAAACCGTCTCAAGTTGCTCTTGCCCTGGTTGAACATGCGTGTTACTGCTGGTAGCACTGATCCTGAAGTCTACAACGCTTTGGCCAAGATCTACATTGACACCAACAACAACCCCGAGCCTTTCCTCAAGGAGAACGAGTTTTACAACCCTCGTGTCATTGGTAAATACTGTGAAAAGAGAGACCCTTACTTGGCCTACATTTGTTACGAGAAGGGTCAATGCGACTATGAATTGATTCACATCACCACCGAAAACTCCATGTTCAAGCATCAAGCCCGTTACCTCGTCCATCGTCGTGACCAAGCTCTTTGGGGCACTGTCTTGGTAGAAAGCAACGAACATCGCCGTGAATTGATTGACCAAATTGTGGCCACTGCTCTTCCCGAGTGCACTGATCCTGATGATGTCTCTAGCACTGTCAAGGCCTTCATGTCTGCCAACTTGCCCAACGAATTGATTGAACTTTTGGAAAAGATTGTGTTGGAGAACAGTGCCTTTAACGATAACAAGACTTTACAAAACTTGTTGATCTTTACTGCTGTCAAGGCTGACCCCTCTCGTGTCATGGACTACATTAACCGTCTCGACAACTTTGACGCTTCTGATGTTGCCGAGGTCTGTATTGGTGAAAACTTGTTTGAAGAAGCCTTTGTCATCTACAAGAAGCACAATGTCGATGCCAATGCCATTGATGTCCTGATCGAGAAGATTGGTGATCTTGACCGTGCCTACGAGTTTGCTGAACGCGCTGATAAGCCTGAAGTCTGGAGCAAGCTGGCCAAGGCTCAATTGGAGCAAATGCAAGTCAAGGAAGCCATTGATTCCTACATCCGTGCTGGTGATATGTCCAACTACATGGAGGTCACTCGCAATGCTTCTATGGATAACAAGTACGAAGACTTGGTTCGCTACTTGCAAATGGCTCGCAAGCAATCCCGTGAGCCCTTCATTGAGACCGAGCTGTTGTACGCCTTTGCAAAGACAGATCGTTTAGCTGATATGGAAGACTTTTTGGCTAGTCCCAACATTGCTCAGATTCAAGAAGTCGGTGATCGCTGTTTCCGTGCTGGCATGTATGAGGCTGCCAAGATCTTGTATACTAGCATCTCCAACCATGCTTCATTGGCTCAAACCTTGGTTCACTTGAAGGATTATCAAGGTGCTGTGGACTGTGCTCGCAAGGCCAACTCTACCAAGGTCTGGAAGGAAGTCAATGCTGAATGTATCCAACAACGTGAGTTCCGTTTGGCTCAAATCTGTGGTCTCCACATTGTGGTTCATGCTGAGGAGTTGGACGAACTTGTCAAGACTTATGAAAAGAACGGTTTCTTTGAAGAGATCATCAAGCTCTTGGAAGCTGGTTTGGGCTTAGAAAGAGCTCATATGGGTATGTTTACTGAGCTTGCCATCCTCTACTCCAAGTACGCTCCCGATATGATGATGGAACATCTCAAGCTCTACGTCTCTCGTATCAATATGCCCAAGGTCATTCGTGCCTGTGCTGATGTCCATTTATGGCGTGAACTTGTCTTTTTGTATGTCAACTATGACGAGTTTGATAACGCTGTTACTGCCATGATGGAACACTCTGTGGATTCTTGGGAGCACAGCGCCTTCAAGGAAATCATTGTCAAGGTCTCCAACATTGAGCTCTACTACAAGGCACTCAAATTCTACCTTGCTGAACAACCCTTGTTATTGAACGACTTGCTCTCTGTTATGGTGCCTCGCATCAAGCACACTCGTGTTGTTCAAATCTTTGAAAAGTCTGACAACATTCCTCTGATCAAGCAATACCTGATCTCTGTCCAAGATACCAACAACAAGGATGTCAACACTGCTTTGAACGAGCTTTACATTGAAGAAGAAGACTTTGAGGCTTTGCGTGATTCCATTGACCATCATGACAACATTGATCCTGTTGACCTTGCCAAGCGCTTGGAAAAGCACGACTTACTCGAATTCCGTCGTATTGCTGCACACCTTTACAAGAGAAACAGAAGATGGAGACAATCCATTGCTCTTTCCAAGGAAGACCGTCTCTTCAAGGACGCCATGGAGACAGCTGCTGAATCCAAGGATCGTGAAGTGGCTGAGGAACTTTTGCAATACTTTATCGAAGTCGGTAAGCGTGAATGCTTTGCCGCTATGCTCTACACATGTTATGATTTGATGAGACCCGATGTCGTGATGGAGTTGTCATGGAGACATGGTTTGAATGATTTTGCTATGCCCTATATGATTAATACTATGAAGGAACAATTCACCAAGGTAAGAGAAACGGCACAGCATCTGACCCGAACTGGTTACTCACCACCATGTGTATAGATCTCCACATTGGACAAGGAAATGAACGAGCTTAAGGAAAAGGTCGCCAAGCAAGAGTCTAATAACGAAAATGGTAAGGACTCACTTGTGTTTGTTATGATGCGATGACTAACGTCATGTTCATTCTATAGCACCTACTGTTCCAATGGGTTCTGCAATGGGCAATCCTCTCATGTTGACAGCTCCCGGTAGCGGTATGATGTCTCAACAATCTCCAATGATGACTGGTGCATCTTTCTCCCCTTCTCCTAACAACCAATTTGGTGGTTTCTAAAGCGTATCATTTTTTGACGTATAAAAAAAATACAGAAGCCTCTAAAACTACTCATCTATCCTCTTTATTCTTTCTCTCACCTCAACTTGATTCAGTTTTTTTTTTTTTTATAATAAAATAATTCTCTAAACATTGTGTAAAACAACTACATGTGATACGGAGTCTCATTGTATGCTTTTGTGTAAGCCAATTTTTGGGATGGACACTAGGTAAAAGCCCTATAAAAAGAGGTTTAAAATTTTAATTTCAAGAAACATTCGGTTTCTTTTTTTTTTCTTCTTCATTTGTTTCATCTATACAACATGATCGCTCGCACAAGCTTAAAGACATTGTACAATCGAAAGACAATTGGCAAGCTTGCCAAATTACCAACATGTGATCTAAAGCACCAGAAAAGAGACTCATCCTCTTCATCCTACAATGACAATAGCAAAGACAACAAAGATAAAAAACAACAAATGACAAAATCAACGACACAAAAGAAGGGCCGTGCTCCAGATATACCCTCCTTTATGCCTGTCGTCAACATTCCTGTCGCAGAATTAGCTCACAACGCCTTTTATTCATTGCATCGACCTTTGCTGGGTCTCTCAACACCTCGTCCTTTCTTAGCGGGTGGCATGGTTGGACAAATTAAGAAGGAAGAAGATAACAACGAGTGTAAGTGAAGCGATTCAGTAGTCATGTAGGCGCATACAGGTCGTTCTAATTTTTATGACATTAGCCGAAGAAGCTCTATTACAATACATGATGAGCCTCCGACCCTTTGAGCCCCCAGGTTTGGATACCATGAAAGAAGAACAAGAGAAATGCTCAACAACGACATTGACTGTCGAGGTAGATCCATCTTACTTTTTAAATCATAACAACAACCATGATGAAATTGCTGATTATTTGACTGCAATGCAAGAAAAGCTGGATCTCCTGTACGACGAAAGAACTAGAAAACTTGCCAACACCAATGTATTGAAAAAGAAGACGAGACGTCTAAGAAAGCGCAAGGGCTTTTTCGAAAAAAACTAATGCCGTTTGTTTGCACATATATACAATCTATATAATACCACATCCCCCATTTGCCGCTCTGTAATATATATATATATTTTTTTTTAGTTTATGCCTCTTGGTTTGAAAATAAAAATCATACGATTTTTGACATGTCATGTTGTGTCCTCTCTTTTCTGTAGATTGCCATTTTTAGGTAAACATCGTCCTGGTTCTGGATGCTGCTATACATGGAAGAAGAAGGGTGTGTTCTCAACAGTGAATATATGCTTTACGTTGATGGAATGTTCGAATCTGAAGCTTGTGGTTTGCAATGGCATGACTCTGACGAACCTTTACATATGCATAGACAATAATTCTCGTCACACGGATCGATATTGCGCCTAATGTGAATACTAGCATTACCACAGGAATGTCGCAATCCACAGTGTGCGCAATTTGAGAGTATCATGGGGCACATTGTTGGCAAACTCTTACAAATCTGCATCTCCATCCAGCTCGGAGCAGCAATAAAAGAGTTTGATTGTTTCAAATAGATCTATACAAACTCGCCCTGCACCGAGATGATGATCAGTGTTGGAGTTTGGTATGCAAGTGCTTTGCTTTTGATGATTTGCAGTAACAGTTGATCCACCAATGAAGAATATACATTACCAAATCTCTGATGCCACGACAACTCACAATATCAGTCCTCTGGTAAACTTATTAGAAGACCTGCTCCTATCAGATGTTGCTTCACTATCTAATCATTAAAGTGTGGACAATTGGTGATTCGAAACATCCAACAACAGGAGCATAAATCAGTCAAATTCATGCGGATTATTCAGCAATCGTGTACCTGGAGTACAACGTCGTGTCTGCTTTCTAAATAAAAAGGGTTGGCCATGGTCACCAATGTATTCAAGTAACATTAATGATTGATTCACGCCTTCCCAATGACATTTCAGTGCACAACAAGTACGCAGCATGTATACTCTAATACTGCCCCTCCAAGCGATATATCAACAGTGCTACAGCTATGATGACCTTTTTGTATAGTTTAGTATTTATTTATTTTTACAACATCTACAAGTATCTATTACACATTTATTTTTTGGCAGCATCAGTAGCAGCAGTAGCAGCCTTGGCGCCATCCTTATTCTTCAAATCTTTCACAGCATCTTGTGCATCATGTGCAGCATCAACACCGTCTTCCTTCTTCAACTCCTTGACGGCATCTTGTGCCTTGTGTGCAGCCTTAGCACCGTCCTTTTCCTTCAATTCCAGAACTGCGTCTTGAGCTTGATGTGCAGCCTCAACACCATCTGATTCCTTTAATTGAACAACAGCTTCTTGCGCTTCTTTGGCAGCCTCAACGCCTTCCTTCTCCTTGTCAGCAGCTGCCTTCTTTTTGCTGGCAGATTTTCTATTTCTGCTAGACTTCTTGGGCTTGGGCTCTTGCTCACCGTCGGATACAGCAGCAGGTTGGGCCTTGGCTTTCTTGGCTTTGGGCTTTCTTTCAGTGTTCTTTTCAGAAGTAGCTGCAGAAATGTGAAGAACACGTCCATCGATTTCCACTTCACCAAATTCCTTCAAGACTTTGTTCATTTCATCAACTGTCTTTAATTCAACGAAACCATAACCCTTGGAACCACCACTAGCATAGATCAGATAACATATTAGAATCATGGTTATGTAAACAACAATAGCAACAAACAACTTACTTTCTCTTGATGGCTACAAGAGTAGACTCGACTTGGTAAGCTTTGAACAACTCGCTCAAACCATCGACCTTGAGATCAAGGGGGAGGTTGGCTACAAAGACTGTTGTTTTTGGCTTGGGCTCTGCAGGTACTTCTTTAGAAGTTTCAACAGATGAAATGGGGTCAACGGATCCTTCTGAAGGGGTACCCTCATCAACCTTCATAAGATAAAAAAAATCGTGAGACTTGATGTTCACAACTCGAGACAACGAGAATCCTTACTACCTTACGCGACTTTTTGCTGTTTCTCTTCTTCTTCTTCTTTTCGCCAGCAGGTTTGGGCTCTCTAGGTTTAGCCAACTGAACACTGATTTCGCGACCATCTAACTCTTTCTTGTCGAGATTTGCAATAGCCTTTTCAGCTTCGGCTGCAGTACCGTAGCCAACAAAGCCATAGCCTCGAGGTCTACGGCCTTGCTTGCTGATAATGGTTTCTAATCTATATGTATGTGGGTCACATAAATAAGTTTTGTACTACTTGATGGAGGAGTTTCTTTACTTACACTTTGCCTACTTGACTGAAGAATGCTTCAAGAGATTCATCAGTGGTAGAAAAGCTCAAGTTACCAACGAAAACCTTTGTTTGTTGAGGATAAGCTTTCATTGCCCCATTTCTCTTTCTATCCTTCGTCTTTCTCGACGTGTGTTGAAACTTACCTTGAATAACTCCTCCTCGGAAGCAGCAGGTGAAATGGTGGGAGAAGCGTCAGGCTTCTTCTCAGTAGTAGTAGTAGTAGGAGTAGTAGCTGTAGGGGATGAAGACATGTCTATATGGTTATTTCTGTACAAAGTGCTTAGCTCGGGCGATGATTTTTGCTGCTGTTTGTTTACTAACCAAAGTGAATAAGGGGTGAAAGAAGAGAAAGAAACTCGTGGAAAGGAAATGTGCCCTTTTTGTGTCATGATTTCAAAAAAATTCATGCTGATGATGTCTCATAATATTTGCTGACACGTCATTTGAACGTGGAAAGAGCGATGATTTGAAATGCAGGACCTATGGCAGTGCTTTTACGTGTTCTTGCTACAAATCCACTTCTATGTTTCCCAAATGCTTGTTGTTAGTTTAGCTTGAGAGCAGAGATGGTATCCAAACATTAAGACAAATGGAGTATATATCTTATTTTACAGGGATTCTGGATTTACTAGAAGAATCGTCTTGAATCACGTTGACAATGTGCCGCAGTTTTGTACTCTCTCCATGAAGAGGGGTTTGGATATCTTGTCAACTTGAGATTCAGATTTGTATGCTATTTTAGGTTGTGGGCTTTGCAAGCTAAAATGCTTTTGACTGACAGCAAAGTCTAGCTTCAAATATAATTATAGACAACTTTGAAAGGGGAATCGTTACAGTAACAGATCGTATTTTCTAACAACAGAGCTGTCAATTCATCTAAATGTATGTTAGCACACTGTATATGGTTGTTCTGCTTTGTGCAATGAGATCTTTTCAGTCAAAGTAGCGATGCTACTACCAATGGATGGGCTTTTTTTTATTTAGTATCAAAGAGTTCTTGAACCACGTTCTTGTTAAAGTATCACACTATTATAATCAAAAACATCCAACGCAATGCCCTGATCAATTATTGTCGTAAATCGTATGTTGATATCCACAGTTGAGATGGCAATTCTGTATTCTGATAATTGTGGGCTCATGATACATCTGTCGTTGCGATAATGATTTCTCATCCTATTCTTAAATGCACAAAACTCGCTTCTCAGCTTTTTATTATCACCTGAGAGAATCCTAAAGCAGCCACTACACTGTGAATCTGGATCTCTTGCGATGTCCCACGTTTGTATCAATGAAATCAATCAATAAATGAGCCGACACCATGACTATATCATCTCTCACTTCTCAAACGTATGCCCAACACAGCGAAATCTAGATGAATTTGAGTCGCTTTTTCTCGTGCTAGAAGACGATTTAGACCACGGGAGTACACATGCGAAAGCTCAACGGAGATCCAATTTCTATTGTTCTTAATGAGGATCCAAGAGTTTCCTAAACCTATCGAACTTAAAATTACTTGATTCTTGATAGTAACCGTCCCTTCAAACTTATATAAAACTTGTGAAGAATTTAAAGGAAAATACAATGATATCTACTTCAAGTGTTTGCTGTACATTGTTCAACTGATATTTGATGAGATAAACTTTGCACTTTTTTCACTGTTTTCTAAAAATTTGTCAGTATCTGTCATCAAAACATTTTGCTAAGCATTACTAAACATTGTAGACCAAAATATTTCCTATCGAATGAGCTATTGCTTGAAGCTCTGGCATGACTCTATCATGAAATATTGATAATATTGTCCTGACCAAAAAATCGTCATCAGATATTTTGCTTGCTCTCACAGGCAGATTTTGAAGAGAAATCGATGGTTTTGCATGTTGCCCTTTTTTGACCATATCTCGACAAACAATGACCGGATTCGCACAAAACAAAGACCGTTCGATAGGTCTATGTTATATCTATTATAATGTAAAGGTTTTAAATACCAGATGTACGTTCGCTTCATAAATTTGCTCAATACCATGTATTTTATGAGCGACAAGCAGGGGATATTCAATTTATTTGTATATTTATCTATAATAATCATACAATCGTGTAGAGAATTGAAAAAGAAACAGAAGCTATTAAGCTTGAACCTCTCGTTTGTTTAGGATATAGATCATCTCTGAGAGGCAGATGTATTATACGTTGTATATTACATAAAAGGATCTGAGAATGAGCAGAGATGCGTAGTAGAAGTGGGAGGTCTTTATTCAAGCAGCACAAATGAACATGAGTGGTGCCATCAAATGGCTAATCTATATCCTGGTTCCTAGAGAGTGGTAGCCTATGGCCTTTCGTCCCTGGAAGTGGGTTTCAATTCCGACAAATGTTCTTCCGTCAAATCTATTAGGAAGAACATTCTACCCTGGATCATCTTTGTTGTTTATCCTTGACTGGTAGTCCATGAGCTCTTACGCAGCACACCCTCGTTAACGAGTTCAAGGCTTATACTGTTTAGCACAAAGAATAAAAGGATTATTATTTGTAGCGTGTTAAAAATGTTTGATATCATAAAAACAAGAAAAGACTTATTTGAATAAGATCAGACACAAAAACTAAAGATTTATTGATGAAGACAAGAGTTATTCTATTTATACTAAGTTCTGAATGCCAAAGTAGAAATTTAACTTGTTCAACGCTTATCACATCTGGTGAACCTCAGCATTTAGATAGCTGAGATGCACTTCAATTATCATAGCTTGTCCATGTTGTTGCACAACGCAGACATATCTACCCATCAAGAATACCTTAATCTTTATAGACAGTTGTAGCCATTCTGGCACAATAACGCTATTACTCGTAGCCGCTCGTAGTTAACAAGCTTCTATATGAAGCTCATTACTCAAAACTTGTTAAAATACGCAGCACTCCTGTGACATTTTGCCGAAAAATCTTAATAAAGGAAGGTATAACCAAGTTTTCACTAACTACAGCGTTTGCCAACATGTGATCCATTAGTCTAATACTTTTAATCACTTGCAGTTACAACGGCTTTCAATAGTAGCTTTTATACATATGTTTTTGTTCAAAATCGTCTGATTTATCAAGGACCAAATGTGAGTTAAATCAGCATAAAAAGTATCGTTTATTATAATGGATATATCGTGGGTATTTATAATAATGGCTTACAGGTGATAGGAACTAATGGGTAGGGCCCCATTAGATCTAGTTGTATGTGAGTAATAGATGTAACCATGCTATATGTTATGTTTCAATGGTAATTTTGCTATAAGGTATGTTTCATGGCTGTCATCTTGTGTACTTAAGGTACGATTATCCATCAATCTATTTCTAAATGCAGATATTGTAATTCTGGTAGATCATCGTCTACTTTCGAAATCATCTGTATATCATCAACAACCCACCATCCAATCTAAGACCCAATTACCCTAGTGTTTTTATTGCAATATTTTTCTATAAAGACATCATGATGCTATTGTAAGAGCTCTCGCATCAATAATATTTCAAAACGGGAAATACTTTTGTACGTCCAGAGTCTTGGATTTGAGATGATAAAAGATAGCAGATTATGGTGATGTATATTGCATTCTTGGTGGGGCATTTGGTACTACTGAGAGAGCCCTGTATCCAGTGTACTGCTGCAGTAGTAGCGGTACAACATATTTTATAATCTTCCATACATAAAAGATTTACAAAAACATTCTTCACAGAAAATTGTTTAATGGATGATTAATTCTATCATTGCACCTTATATTACATATGAAAAAGAATGATTTAAATTGTATCTATTTAGATACCCTTTTATTATTACAAGTACAAAATCATATTAAATGCTAGATCAATAGGAAATCAACTAGTTGTAGGCCTTCGTTGCTTCGACCTCTCAGCCAATCAAATCGCTTGGAAACTCCGCTGACCTAAAAAAATTTTTGCGAGGGTTTCCCCCCTGTTTTGATGTGAGGCAAAATTTTAAGCTCCGCCATATAGTAATATAGCTGTTACTATCATCAAATTTCCCCCAGGTGCTAGAGCATGCCTTACTTACACCACCTAGCTTTAAATTCAGGCGTTGAGACCCTCAATCATCACTAAAGTAAGTAGAGATAACCAAGTGGAGGCGGCCTATCTACCTCCTAGTCTCGGATAGAGTCTTGTTGAGCTTCAGGGATAGGCACATCCACACAACGTAAAAAAATATGCCTCAAAGAAACATAATCAAAGGAACAAATGAACATAATACTATAAGAGTATAGTAGCATGTAAGCAAAAAAAAAAAGAGAAACTCACACGAAGCGAGTCAAAGAAAAGCATAACAAACACAACATCAAAGATGTTTAAAAAAAACTCGTTGTTGTTGCAATAAAATTGCATACATGAGCAACGCGCATGGTAGTAATAGTCGGATGTAAAGCAACATGGCACAAATACGCACAACTGCAAAAGCAACAGTGACATTATAAGTTTGCATCACAACATAGTGACTAAGGTTGTTTCATGTAAAGCTACAGAGGAAACACTACCAAGAAAAGAAAGAAAAAGAAGAAAGCGCAACAAGGCAAACATCATGAATGCATTATCACGAGAAAGGAAGCAATAATACAAGCGTCCAAAGAAGTTTTATATCATTGCGACCAGAAGAAAGAAGATACCACTTACCACAGCCACAGATAAACCAGAAGAGGACACGAAATCACCGGAGACAGACCAAAGAACGAAGAGCATGCACCAAATACAGCAGACCAGGAAAGACCAGATTAGCAGCAGCAGCAGCAGCAGCAGCAATACCAGCATCATAGAAAAACTATAGAACGAACGTTATCAGCAAAGAACAGACAAAGACCAAAGTAGTTACTGCTTATCACCACCAGAGATAGACCAGAGAACAAGCATACTACAACAAATAGAGTAGACTAGGAAATACCGAATTAGCAGCAGCAGCGGCAGCAACACCAGCACCATAGAAGAACCAAAGAACGAACAACACCAGAGACCAGACAAAGACCGAAGAAGCAGGCAGAAGAGATGGCAGAGAATTAATGGCAGCAGCACTCACTCAAGCAAGCAAAAAATACTAAAACCTAATAAACAAACTCAATTAGTGTTAATTTTACGCCTTTCAGTGCACGTTATCAAATGGTACCTAATATATTCCACTTCAAAGAAACAGTATCAAGTTTTTCCAACAGTACAAGACAGAGTTATCAGAAGCTAGAGTATTATTTTCAATCAAAAGGGATCCAAAACCAAC